TAAATTATTATCAAGTTATCAGCGATTGTAAAAGTTGCAGATAGAAGTGTTTTGTTTTATATTATTATCAAGTTATCAGTGATCGCAAAACCTCCAAATCCTTAATTTCAAAAGCCCCGCCGGGGCTAATGCACTTATCATCGGCTTCCCCAGGGGTCGACCCCCGAACCACCCAGGGACTTTTGTTAAGAGGATGTAACAAAACATTAACAAAGCCCCTGGGTACAGTGGAAAGTCTAATGACAAAAATCATGTTACAGCTAGGCCCCTACCCCCGGGGCAAAAAAGCAAACATAACATCCCTAACAAAAACAAAATATTATATAACTGGTGAACTGGATACAAAATACAGCAGAAAAGTAAACAATTTTAAAATAACCATCCAAAAATGTCAGGTTCAAGCATGTAAAGCATGCACGCTTGAAAGAATTTATTTGCGCATGCGCTGAATTATAAATAATTAGGGTAAGATGAAGTTTATACTATTCAAACTCAATGATTCTTAGATACGAGTAATGTCCATGCAATACAGGCATCGATATCTGATGTCTGATGGTGAAGATGGTGTATGATGGTCGAAGTGTGTCAGATGGTGTATGATGGTGTAAGGTGGTTGTACAGGGAAGGGTTGTCAGATGGTGTATGATGGTGTATGATGGTCATGCAAAGTGTGTCAGATGGTTGTCAGATGGTGTATGATGATGTAGGGTGATTATACAGGGAAGGGTTGTCAGATGAAGATTGTGTATGATGGTCGAAGTGTGTCAGATGGTTGTCAGATAGTTGTCAGACAGTGTACACACCCCCTGAGACGAAATGCTCGCAACGGCACTGAGTATACATCTTTTGAAAACAGGCGAGGGGTTATTGCATGCATGTATTTCTAGTTTATTATTACTTACATATACTGTGGCCAACTATGTATATAAAAATATAATATTATATCTCACATTACGGTTCTCATGTGGGAAACGTAATTCAAAGTATTTGACAGAATATATTTAAACACATTTGACAGACATGTTCGAGGTAATAAATAACAATATAATATGAATATATTATAACTCACATTACGGTTCTCATGTGGGAAACGTAATAATTCAAAGTATTTGGCTAAATATATTTAAATGCATTTGACAGACATGTTCGAGGTAACAAATAAAAATATAATATAAATATTCTTCAGTCCACCTGTCAACCGATGGTTATATCTATATTGGACATATATGTTAGATACCGCTGACCATATGTGAAACAAAATCCCGCGGGTTTATCACAGGGGTTAACAGTGCCTGTCACCAAACCCAAACATTTCCCCTTCCCCGAGGGACACTATTTTTTCCTGGGGGTTCCCCCTGGGGTGTCCCAGGGGTCGACCCCCAGGGAAGCCGATGATAAGTGCATAAGGTTCGAGTGGAAATGCCCAACCCCCGGGATGTGCTTTACAGGAAAATGGCTGGGCGAGGGGGGTGGGCACACTTGGATTTGGCTGATGCATTAAAAGTCATGGAAAAAGAAAAACTTTTCATATTGCTACACTATAAAATGGCTTATTGTGTTTATTCCTGTGCTTATTCCAGACTGCGCTTGTCAAATATTTACTTGCAAGAAGTAGAAATTTACTCTGACCACTGGATGAGACATTAAATAAGTATTGGCCAATAAATTACCGAAATGTATTTTATTTCATACTATTACAATTTTATTTTTATACTATAAAAATAAAATATAAACATGCAGCCTCTGACACGCAGCATAGAATATGCAAATTCGAGGCAAAATTATTGTTGAATCGGTTTATTTATAGGATTTTATAACAAATAGCAACTATAAAAGTTTATACCTTGTCTTGACATCGCTTTATTCTGTTAGCTAGCCAATGCTTTTAAATTTACATATTTTAGAATCAGTTCCTTTCCTGGTAACTGCATTTCTAAATGAAATCATCGTGAGTAGTGAGTGCTGAGCAGGCCGTTTTACTATAAACAAATTTTAGGAATTGATAACAACTTTCATGAAAAATATATCGTTGCCTCGATCGTTGCACATGCGGTCACAGTAAAAATGTTCATAGTATGTTGTACTGTCGCTTGCAACTACCGATGAACAGTCGCTCATAAAAACATTCGCGTGATTAGAATCTCCAATGTTTGTCAAGAACAACAACACTTAATTGTTGTTTCCCATGTGGCCATGTGTATAATAATAAGTAAAAAAAACTTTGTGTGGTCTGAACGTGTTGGGCCAGAGACCTACTGGAAACCTTTACAGGCTTTTTAATGAGAATAGAGAATGTTTTATCTGCAACTGTTCACCTTTAGTTGCAACCGACGGTATTCGACAACATAAAATTGCCTGTGGCTGTGATAACTGATATAAATAAAATACAGTCTGGTTATACTGACTTGAGCGTGTCATGACAAACTCTTTATTGGAAAATTGTGAAGAAACAGTCGAATATAGAGGGTCGAATATCATACTTCAACTTTTAAAGCTACAGTAACATTGGTACATAGCGTTGTGAAGACAAGCCTTTTCATACCTTTCGCTTCAGCAGTCTTTTCCATGCTTCTCTACGCTTTCCCAGGCGAGGTTTTCTTTCCTCGCAGTCTCCTCGAGCAAACGTTGTCGTCTTCGCTCCCTTCTTTTCGCTAGACGCTCGGCTTTCTTGTCGTTTCCTTGCCGCTCTTCATGGCTAGCTCCATATCTTTTCAATTGGTATTTGATACCGTAATTGTTTGATAAAAGTTTTAATAAAACTAATTGCTTTTAAAGCTGCCAAATGTTTTTGCAAATGTACAAAAAACTGTAGCGCAAAAAGCAAAATATTTTCATGAAGTATCTGTCAGTTAAAGTCGTCATTCGTCATACAACAACAAATTTTAAATTTGACCAATCGGTGTTCGCTATTCATGACAGTCCGCCATATTCTTGAGATCAGTGAGGATGACCACCCACGCACAGTGACCCACGCCCGCGATATTTGATGAACTTCAGACTTCCCTAATGCTTTCGTTTCCCCGGCTGTAAATAGCCGGGGGGAATTAGTACCCTCGCAAGGCGCTTCGCGCCGCCGGCTCGGGAATAAAACAAAGATTGTAAAGGGGATAAAATTTGTAGGCAAGCATTGCTCCTGAACGGCAAGTGTTTGTGTCCGGCAAAACAAGCGAATCCGTATATTCTACAGCGTAAACAGCTTACGTCAGGTTTATATTTGTGTTTATTTATATTGAACTAAGTCAGATCTATAGGAGCATATTTAAACTAAATATTAATTATAGCAATAGCCATATTGTTCAAGACGAGAGAAAGGAAATTTCGTGTGAATCACCACTCGCATGGAGACACCTAGATGTAGCTTGGATGCACTTTGCCTGTAGTTGAAAATCTCCAGAAATATCGGTATATCTTATAAAACATAGACGGGATCTTCATAGATTTTAGCTGATTCGTGCCAAACTTTGCTCTACACATAAATAATATCGATTGAGAAGTCCTTTGGCTATTTATTTGTTTCGACGACTTGTATATTTCATTAAAGAATATCTCGCCACTCCTTGACGAGTAGCTGTCAAATACTGTCATTTTTTGTCGTCACGTGACCGGCCCAGACCAGGGCTTCCTCGTGCCTCGCCTCGTTGTCACATTGAAGCCCTGGGAACGAGGTTGGTTGTCGATTTCTTCTCGTGTCAATTGGCACAGGCTTTTGCCTGAAAACAACACAGGATGAGCTACGTCCTACTTTAAAGTTTCTAGCAGGTTCGAGTTTACAGCAGCTTGGTGCCTCGTGAATTCTTCTGCTTCGTCATCCGATTGTGTGGCACCTTTTCTCTTTGATGCCATTCTTGGGAAAAACAACGATATCTGCTGGGGACGAAGAAACTCTACAATGGTAAAGACTCGTTTTCCATTCTGATCTTTCAGTTGTCGCATTTCTTTTGACACGTTATCTGGGTTAGCCTTCACGCCCGTTTTTACACCATCGTTAAATTTGCGCTAAACCGATGGCCTGTTTTTTGGGGTCCCGATCAGCCCACCCTTTTGAAACACATGTTGTACCCACTTCTGGCGAGCCTGTCATTGTAATTAATGATTGTCCCCCTCTCTCCTCTTCCAGACGGTCTGCGTAGCTTATCTTTGCCCTGTCCAATAAAGGAACATTCTGGTTTTGGCGAAAATTGTGTCGCCCATACATCAGGTGTTGATGCAGACTACCATGAGTTATATAGGATTTTATGCAACCGTCTTCTGGGCAGGAAAACAAATAGCTATCAGCTGGGTCGGTACCGACTTGCTGTTCATCAATGGCTGGTCGTTCTTCGTTAGTTGAACTGTCCGGATGAGAAGATACTCCCTTTGCTTGTCTGGGCTTTATTACCACAAAGTCGCCTGTACCTGGTTCGACCACTATCCATTCGAACTCACTATCACGTGGGATTTCTAAAAAAAATTATGAACACATTTCAACAAAGCACACACCTAAATGAAAGTATTTGCACTCCGTAGTCCACGTAAGCGCAGCCTGTTTCCAAATAGGTGTACATTCTTTACACCTGCAAAAAATGTTGTTGTGGGATAGTACATTAAGATAAACAAATAAGTAGTTTAAAATGTTGTTATCTTGGGAACAGGTACCATCGTGAAACGAACCCCTTTAAACCCTCCTTTAGCTTTTTAAGTTCAGCAGGGGTTGGGACAAAATTGCCCTGATTGATGTACTGCTTAACACGGGTCTTGATTTGCACTGCCTTCCTGTCACATGACCTTTTCCCCCTTGCGGGTCACAGAAGTCAATCCGATAAAGATCCAGCGATCTTCTCTCTCTTAGTATTTTGCAGGCCAGTATTGTTGTTGCGGAGTGATAACACCCAGCGTTGTCTTGGCGGTATACCATTCTATTCAAGGTAGGATTTTCGCACTTCAGGGTTTGCAGGACATCTTCCATCACGCTCACTACTGTATTGCTATCCTGCACACCAGATTCAATTATGTGAAGGAACGTTTGGGCGACCATCTCTGCGCCTTTGTTGCTTTGGCAAACTGTAAGGTGCCACGAAATCCCTCTTTTCCCGAAGAATTCGGTCTGTGTCTCTCTGTACTGAGCTGGTAAGAACTTCATGGCAAAGTCTTGCCTGATTCGCGTGGAATCTTCTTGCCTGATTAGCGTGGATAGCATCCGACCTGGCTACGTCCTGGTGGACCATGCGGAGCTGGTGGGATTTCCAGGACAGGACAGCATCACACGCGGTTCTCGCAGTAAATAGAGCATCATCCTGCACGTCTTCGGGTAGGTTAGTAGACTGGATGAAGGACTTAACTAAATCTAAAGACTAAGGAAAACGAAAAACTTTTTTCAATAAAGTTACATTTTCTGTAACATCTGAGAGCTTCGGTGATGTGTCATATTCATAGACAATTTTCTCCTTAGCAGCATCAGCATGCTATACCATTGCACATTGTATATACACAATATGTAATTAACCGAATTATATTCCATTGATTTCCAATAGTATTTTATTAACTTACCGTTTTCAATATTTCACAATTCTCACACTGTTGATTGTGGTGGTGGTCACAGCGTCAATGGAAGCATTTCTTCTTCGGATCGCTAAGTGCAAACACTCTGCAGTGGTCAGGTATAGAACTAAATATGGAACAATAGATCTGCGGAGAAAAGAGGCATGTGGTTACGTTCTATCAAGAGGCGGTATGAAATACTGGGAAACATACCTTGTAATCACTTTTGATGTACTGTATGAGATGTTTAAGGCTCTCCTTTAGCTTGTGTATTTCAGGATCGTTAGCACCATATTGCATCAATGTATCCAGGAGGGAAATCAGGTCATCAAAACCACGCCCGCCCTCCGCTGCATAGCTATCTAAGCCCTGTAAACTCTTTCTCACTGAGGCCACGCAAGCCTCAGACAAAATACGAAAGAGGGTGCGGGTAGAAAGTGGAATAAAGTCTTCTTCGCTGCAGTACTGGTTGTATTGTCTGATGAGATGGGAAGGCAGCATCGTTCGTATGACATTAGGGATATTGATCTTCTCACCGCTGCTTAACGTAAGAGTTCTCCTACCAAAGGGAAGATTTTGTACTCTATTGGAGGACGTTATGAAGTCAAGGAAGTGTTCTAGCTTTGTAGGAACCACCCTTTCTCTTGTTTGTTTCACGGAAGGTGCTAAAATTAAACAGGGAGTCCTGCGCCAACTTCAAGTGCGTACCGTCTTGCGGCAGTGAACTCATATCTTGTTAGCTTAGGAATGTGTGCAATAAGCTCTGAATACGTTACTTTACTGGCACAAATGCTGAGAAGTCGTCGCCTTGTCTCTGCCTTTTCCGCTAGCTTATACGATTCTACTATTGCTTGCGCCAGGCCATTGTCAGGTCTTGGCATTTGTAGGAACTGGCTTACTTTGCCCTCTATCCTCACTGCTTCCCACAATTCCGGAGCGGAATCTGGAGCAACCGTCTTAATCGCCTGGGACGAGGTAGGCTGGTATAGTGAACATTCAGGGTTAATGGCTAGCTTCTCCAGATCTTCAACGAGCGTTGCAACAGTCTCGTCGTTTATTTTGCCCTCGTCAGTGAACTCTATGGCTGGAGGTTCTCCAACTGATGCCTATAATTAATTAAAAAAACAAGTCTTTAGCGATGTCTGCATATTCGCACGTATACAGCTGTAAATTGCTGCCATCAGGAATTGTCCCTCGATTATTGCCACAATACCCACCCTATTGTTTTATAATCTCTATATGGAAAACTGCCATATAGCCAGTATCTCAGCCCTGGGTTAAGCCTCGCTAAAAACGCCGCTTGGTTTAGTTTGACTTATAAGCCTGTTTGTCCCTTGTTTGTTGTACTTCCTTGTATTTACCCTGTGGCTACACGCATGTAGTGTTTACCTCTTCTCACTTTTCACTCTGCAGGTTGTGGCGTTTGTGCGCAACTTTTCGCGGCATTGTCGACAGATTCATGAAGAAGAACAACAGTGGAAACAACATTGTAGGCGATATAAAGGTTAACAGTATAAGTCAAATTTCGTCCCTGATAATTCTTCAAATCATGCTTAACATCAATAATTGCTAATTATGCATGAACTAGTATTGTTGTCGGTTATGGCGCGACATGTCTTGTGGAAGCGAATACTATTCTTTGGACTTGATTGACAAGTTTACGTTGTTTATGATTGACATGTTTTCACCAAGTCAAAGAAAACAAAGATGATTGATATGCATGACTCATGTGTTTCCCGTCCCCTATGAAGTGAACTTAGCGTAAAGTAAGTTATGTCGACAACACAATTGGACACTAATAGACCACTCAAATATTACACAAAAACATTTAAATCGAAGTGGTCTGCATTTGAGTAGAGACGGAACTACTCAATTAGCTCGTAATTTTTTAAATGTCATAAATCATAATATTTGAAATATTGCCGGATGGGAATCCCTAATCTCTGTGCTGCCAGATGATAATAATGATAAAACTGAAGATACACCTTTAACTATCGGTCATAACGTCTATGGACGTGGCTTAGTGATGGCCTCGTTAAATATAAATAACCTTTTAGCTCACATTGACGAACTTAGGGTGTATATGAATAATGGTAAAATAGATGTGCTTGCAATTAACGAAACTAAATTAGATTCAACGATTGAGAATAGTGAAATCCATATCCCTGGATATGAGATAATTAGGAAGGATCGAAAAATTAATGGTCGAAACGGTGGAGGTGTCTGTATTTTTGTGCGATCCAATATTAATTATATAACGCGAAATGACCTGAATTCCGAAAATTTAGAATGTCTTATAATAGAAATTACCAAACCACGGTCAAAATCGTTGATCCTTGGCACATGGTATAGACCACCAAACTCTCCAATTAGATATCTAGATGATTTTGAAAATATTATTGGAAATCTGGACTCAGAAAATCAAGAGATGTGTA